AGTTGAAACCTTTAAATACCTTCTGTCCATTTGATTCCTTTTTCTCTTCCCAGAACAGACCAATCATATAGTACCCTAAAATTCAGTATCTGTGTCTTGGTTTCCCCACTTGCAAAAAGCATGTTTTGCTTTTTCTCTCCATTTCCAATGCCACCAAGGTTTTTTGTTTATTGTATGGCGGATAAGGAGCAAATGAGGGGTTAATTTTAACAAGCTAAAACGTCACAGGCAACTTCTTTGGTTTTCACATAGATACAGCTTTCACTGAGTCAACGTGTATTCTGAGCAGGGCTACAAAGTCTACCCTGCAGCAATCCTTGAGGCAGGTATGAATGTGGGGGAGAGGATAGAGACTTGAGGAGAATCCAAAAAGCTGAGAAGATAAAATCCCTATTTTACGCAAATAAGAGAAACCAGATTTGCCAGCCTCATGTGGGGAAGGAGCTTGCTTATTTGGAGCAATTTTGAGACTTGCTTATCTTTGTGGTCACATTTAAAATGTCTGCAAATGAAATTCAAGAGCAGCAGCAAGTATGATTTCAGTTGCTCCTGCAGATGCTCTTCCCGTCAAGAGAGACAGATTCTGTACCACCCTTAGATAGAGCAGGGATTTAGGGAGACCTGACTTCACTGGCAGTAGCAGCCTGATAATGAAACACATCTCTTTTGGATTTTAGAAAGCTTTTAGGGGTAAAATGTATAAATCTCCCGAGGTCACTGGATAGACTTTCACTGGAAGATTTGCCAAGCAGATCCTATTGTTCCTGCTGTCTATAGGGAAATGCAATGTATACATACATACAGATACACATACATAGCACTGCATTTAGTGTAGAACCTCATGTTTTGATATTCAGTTACTTATTTCAGAGACTATTTACATGTTGTATTTTGTCTTCTAAGCATAGGCTTGCTCCTCTTGGGATAAAGTGGTGCAAAGCATTGAGGAATTAATGAAGTGGGTAATCAGGTTTCTTTGTGTTTGTTTTCTGAAAAAAAAGTTCAATATAAAACGAATAAGAACTTGCAGCATGCCTATGACAGCACCATGCAGACCTGAACACCATACAGAAGGATGTATATCTTCAGAAAACAGGGAAAACCTTTCCTGAAATGTGAACTAAACGGGAGCAAAGCACCTTTTCTAACTACTGTTGCTAACTACTGACGGACCCACTGATGGACTGAATTAGCTGTAAAGACCATCTCAAGGAGCTATAGAAAAGCCAGTGACTAAGACAAGAAGATAAGAAGAAGAAAAAAAAAAAGGAATCCAAAAGTCCCCTGACTCTTCTTCACCCTCCTCCCGAAATTGCTTAGTCACAACTAGCCCCCAGAGCTGAGTTAAGAGAACACAAACTCATCTGGGATGCCAAGGCTCTTAGCAGTAGAGTACTCTCAAAACCTGAACTTCATTCACTGTTTCATTTCTGATAGACCATCTAGGGTCTTGCTTGGCCATCCTGGGCAAGGCAAGGTCCTGAAAAGCAAGCCCTCCACTTTCCAGTGAAGACTTGGAGCGACGTGCCGACCAGCGTCCTCCTGCATCCCAGAAGTTTGAAAATGCTGCTCCACAAGCTCCATTTGCCAGAAGAACTCAGAGTAGAGTTCTCAGAGGGAGAAGATCCCACTTCCCTGTACTGCATCCCATATCATTCACTCTCATTATGGCACTTCCATCTGGAAATTCAAAATTCTGGTCTTGGCCCTGAGTGGTCCAACTTTCTGAGTGGTCCAATTCTAGGGTGCTATAGTAGTAGTGCTTTAAAGGTATTCGGTTGTAAAGGGAGCCAAATGAGGAGATGAACAAAGATGCTGCAGGACTTTGTGTGCCGCTATTCAGACAGACCTTGACAGGTTGGAGAGTTGGGCACAGAGGAACCTCATGAGGTTCAACAAGGACAAGTGCAGGGTCCTGCACCTGCGGAGGAATAACTCAAGACGCTAGTACAGATTAGTGGTTGACCTGCTGGAAAGAAGCTCTGTGGAGAGGGATTTGGGAGTCCTGGTTGACAAGAAGTTAACCATGAGTCAGCAATGTGCCCTCGTGGCCAGGGATCTCAGCCTGCATCAGGAGGAGCATTGCCAGCAGGTCAAGGGAGGTGATTCTGCCCCTCTACTCAGCTCTGGTGAGGCCACCCCTGGAGTATTGGGTGCAGTTCTGGGGTTCCCATTACAAGAGGGACATTGAGCTTCTAGAGAGGGTCCAGCATAGAGCGACCAAGATGATTAAGGGACTGGAACATCTGTCTTATGAGGAAAGACTAAGTGAACTTGGCCTGTTTAGCCTGGACAAGAGAAGGCTGAGAGGAGATTTGATTGATTAACATGTTCAAGTACCTGAGGAGTGATTGTAGGGAGGATGGGGCCAGGCTCTTCTCCGTGGTGGCCGGTGACAGGACAAGGGGTAACGGGTGTAAGTTGAAACACAGGAAGTTCCACCTCCATACGAGGAAGAACTTCTTTACTGTGAGGGTGACAGAGCCCTGGAACATGCTGCCCAGAGAGGTTGTGGAGTCTCCTTCTCTGGAGATCTTCAAAACCCGCCTGGATGCCACCCTGTGCCACATGCTCTAGGTGTCCCTGCTGGAGCAGGGGGGTTGGACTAGATGATCTCTAGGGGTCCCTTCCAACCCTAACCATTCTGTGATTCTGTAATTCTGTGATTCTGTGACCCTAAAGTGCTCCTGATCATCCCACAGAGAGGCCAAATATTATAGCATTCAGAATCCTTCAAAGGATGCCGAAAACATGAATTTTATCCATCCTCAGTTTGGCAAGGAGTCATGGCTTCAAAGTATCACACCTAATAGACCATTTACTATACACGAGATCACAACTATGTTGCAAATTGTACTGCCTGACAGGAGCTATTTATGTGGGTATATTTACCCTCCAGGGGTAGGTTCTGCTGGTTTCCCCAGGGTTTCCACTGCTTAAATATAGGCACAGGGGAGGGGCTTGGGGAAGAGTATCTAATCTGCAAACAGAGAATCATATGAAAGAGTCTGCACGGAATATGTAAGAAGGTGGTTGTGGTTCAGGACTGAAGTGAATTTCTGTTTTATGTAATGTTTGGGTTTTATTTTAGGGGCAGATCCAAAAGTGCTCCTGTTTTACACATAAATGCATATGCATGTATGTGTACATACATGTAAAGAACATGTTATAGCATAAGATAGCAAACTAAAATATAGTGAAATAGAGCATAGATATTTTTCAAAGACAATGTAAGTGACTTCTGCTTATTTTGTTGTAAATTCTGACCAAAAAAAGACTTTTCAGTCATTTAGGTTCTATTGTGGTGCAAAAATAAACATCCACTTGTACAATTGAACTTTTTTTTTTTCCCAAAATCCAGCAAACACCAAATGATAAGTGCTAATCTGAAAAGCTCTGAGCTGAGAGAAAAACAAATATGTTTTAGTGGTTTTGTTTCAGAATGTTTGGCATTGACATTTCTTTTATACTACTGACTTCACACTGATTTATGTTTAGAGAATGCATGATATAAAATTCCTCAGAGTTTTGAATATTTATCAACAAACAAATAAATTCCAGGCATCACACTTTAAAATGATTACTACTGGCTTAAGCAAATGAAACTCTACATTCTGTTGTCAAAGATCTCCATTCCAGTGCATTAAGTAAAAACACTGTTCTTCATAAATGTCCACAAAATCATATTTTAAAAGCTATAATAATCTGACTATGGAACAGTTGCTCATCATGTGATTTATGCCTAATAGCAATAACAACTCCCTGTAGCCCCATTCATTAGGGGATACCAAAGTACTGAAAACAGTAATTAAGCCTGATAACTATTGTTCTCCCATCCTTTATATAATGGAACAATGGCTAAATTATGAGTAAAGCTATCCGGTTAGGAGGAGTCTGTTACAATCCAATTTATTATTAAAAAGTCAACACATAGCAGGAGAGGAACACCTGCATCTCCACAGAGGAAGAAAAGACAGATCTGAACTATTGTCACTCATACAAACTAATATAACTCCTATCACTGTCACAGTGTAATTTCTTATTTAATAAGAATAATCCTAAATTAAACCTAAATTAATTTTATAGCCTCATATGCATGCAACGACTTTATATAAATGAATTGCCGCAAAGATGCACTAAATAGAAATGGGCAACCCAAGAGAGAAGTTACAGAAGACAGTCTAGGTCATCCCAAATTGGCACTTTACGTTGGAGGTCCACTTTTTTTCTTTCTGAAACAGAGTTCTTTACACAATCTCTAACAAGCTCAATGGTCTCCCAGTCACTTGGTGAAAGCAAAGAGACCTCTCTGGAGTAAGGGAAATTGAGCAATGCGGAACATTGCATTTTGCTTCAGGAGCCCAGGAACTCCCTCCCACTCTTTTATCTCACATGATGACAGCATGGGACACAAAGTAAATTGCCAGAAGGACCTTTGCTTTCCCTTGCCTGCTCTAAATATTAGAGGAAATTGACCTCTAGCCCTGCTTTATTTGAAGGAGTTCTGAATTATTTCCTCGCCGCTACGAATCAGATAACATAAATCACACCTAGACCCCATGGCAACAAGTATTATGCTGCGGAACAGTTAAATAATGCTGCAAAGTAAAAATGCTACGGTGGCTTAATGAGTACTGACTCATACATTCTTCCTTCCAGTCATGTTATGTATTATGCTAGTGCCCAGAGGCCACAGCTGAGATTATCATCCTAAATGCTTTACAAAACAACAGGAGAGAAAAAAAACAATGCCTATGTTCTTGTTTTCAGACCCAAAAAGAAAGGCAGTCAAGGAGGGAAATGGAAAATTTGCTGCTTCTTGGATCAAGCTCTAAGAGTCTTATCAAAGGTAACAAGCCTGTGCCAGAGACTGGGCTCAAACACAGATTTCCAGAATCTTAGTCCACGATCAAAATAATTGGAACTCTCATAAGATAAGCAGATGCACTCAGAAGAGGAGTCATCCGCTGTCTATTGGAAGACATTTCTGTGCCCTTTACCTGATCAGAGGCTGGTGTAACGCTACCAGTGACGCATGCACCGTGACGGATATCACTGACAGGTGGAAATAGTCAAACATGACAGGAACATGGTGGTGCAGGCCTCTCCGGGGATGGAAGTGAAGACACAGTGTACGGCTGCTAATCATGGGGATCACTGGAACATCTCTCAGCCTGGGAGAGAAAGAGATGTACAGGTTAGCAAAACCTTGAGTTGTCACAGTTGATAACATGCAGCAGGCTGGGAAATGGCTTGAGATGAATTTTTATCACCTGCTGTTAACAGTCACAGCTTCAACATAACTGATGAGTATCTTTTAATTGTACCTACATCTAGCAGAAAAATAAATATATAACTATTGTGATGCTACTGTACAAAAGAGACATGGATGTGATGCAGTGTACGATCTTCCCAGGTGACTGCCCTTGCTGCCCACCTATGCACTAGTTCAGGAGATATCGAGAGCTAAGGAGAGGCAGAAGGAAACACAGTCAGCAAAGTGCTCTAATCTAATCTGAGTTTTAATGGTCAGGATACAACAACTGTGATTTTTAGTGCAAGAATCATCTGCCTTTTTTTTTCTACCTGTGACAGGTAGCAGCAGTTTGGTATCATAGAGGCACTACTCAGAGTACCTCTCTTGATGGGCAATCTTCTAAAAAAAAGTGTTACAAAGGGCTAAAAAAACATCAGAGGAAGTAACTGCAAAGAAGTATTATGAGCAAGGTGTTTCCTCCTCTTTTCAGTAACATAAACACAGGATGTTATTTTAAAGATTTATTAAAACTATTCCAGAATGCTTTTCATAGTGTAGAGTCAACCACACTATATATAAGTTGCTTACAAAGCAAAACAATGAGATGTAGTTCTGAAGTTTTACACAACAATATCCTTCCAATGAAAATGTTAATACACCTTTAAGGAAGCATTATTTTACATCATTAAGGGCACTCTCAATACAAGCAAATTAGTTTGCAGAGCTAATAATGCCTATGATGAGACAGTTGAGCATAGTCACAAGTGGATCAGTGAGACCTGTGCAACATACTTATAAACATATCTTTTTTTTTTAATTAGATTTCTGAATAATCACTCAGATGACAACAGAAATTAAATGTACATGTTAGACCACAGTTTCATATATTTTTTTCTCCCTTCCAGACTCATCAAAAGAACAGTAGATGGTCCATTTGAACCTGTGTGGGAGAAAAGAGTTTCACCTCATGAATATTGATCATAAAAGAATGTGCCTCTGGAAATCTCTTAAGGTGAAGTATGGATAAGAATAAAATCATATAGGGACAGCCTTGGCAGCTCAGATGATTTCTCTGCAGGTTCTCCACAAGCATCGCTAAAGTCAATGGAAGCTTCTTCTGCGAGCTGAGCGAGGCTGAATAAGGTCACTTTCGGGTACTTCTTAGGAAGAGATCAAAGTCCATGGAAAGACTTCTTTTCTTCTGAAGTCTTTTGAGACAGCCTTGTTCCTTCTACAGGAAAGCCCTTGGCATGTTCATGCATCCCTCGTCAGCCAGAACACCCTTACTTGCTTCCTGGAGAAATGCATTCCTGAACCACAGCCTCTGCTCACACAGAGGTCAGTGATGTTCCCTTTGACATTAACAGCAACAGAGGTTGAAAAATGACATCATCTTAGAAAATCCCACACTTAAAGCAGAAAAACATTGTTCCCTAAGGTGAGGAGTAGTAGATTACCACTTCAAACACAGCGAGGAGAAACAGAAAAGCTTGTATGCTAAGGTATATCAAAGCTCTTCTTTTTCCAGAAGACCCTCTCCCTTCATCAAAATCATCTGCTCAGCAGAACAAATCCCCACATTATCAACTGAGCTCTAAAACAAAACTTACTGTTGTTCACTATCAGTAAAGTGCAGGTCCAACTTCAGCTGAAAATCTGCCTCACTCAATGCATCTTCCACCTACAAAAGGAGAAAAAGTCAAAAATACTTTTATAAGTGGCCCCTCAAAGCAGTTAAATAAATAGTCTTGCCCCACTAGAGTCCGGTCAAAAATATACAGCAACAACTCCAGCAGGAAGAAACAGCAAATTGAGGTAATTGCCAAGGAAGCCAGAGGGACCGAGAGCAGCTAGAGATACTGTTTGTCACCAAGAGTCCTGGTCATGTCAGAAAGTCTGCCTTATGAGAGTAACCTGAGGGCACAGGGCACTGGGTTTCTTGCACAGTGAAAGTCTCCAGGCAGGGAAGTATCTCAGTAGCTTCGAGACAGCGATCATCTGAATTATCTTATCAGATGAAGGAGAACAAGGACCAGATTTTCTTCTATGTTCAGAAAACGCCAGGAGTCCTGCTGGTCTCTGCCAGTAAAGAATACAATGTTCAAGTATGATGTGTGAAAAATATAATATAAATAATGGCTAAGTATGTCTTGCAAATATGAAAGTCTATAATTCTATCTAAGTGTATCTTTTTTTTTGTTTTATTTTTATGTGTGTCTCTGTGTGTAAAGAAGGAAATTTGAAGTCAAAGATTGATTGTACTTTGTCATATAATATTATGAGAAAAGTGTAGAATTTAGACCCCTCCAAGGTTATGCATATTTCTTTTAGCATGATCACAGCACTGAGATGTGAGAAATATCAAGCCTCTCTTTACTAAAGAAAATGCTCTCTCTTTTGCATTTGTCTGGAAACATCTGGAAGTATTTTTTTCTCTCTCTCTTTTTCAAAAAAAAATCCTTTTTAATGAGTTAATTTTACTAAAAATCATAGTTACCATCAGTTGCAAAAGAAATAATCATTACTGAAGCTGCAGGCTGAATTTAAACTAGGAATCCAACAGAAGCCGGGTGCTTCAGATCTACCAAACTTCATCCACCAACAGAGGAGATGAAATTTTGGGGCTGAATATCTGTAACTGAGCACCAGCAAATGCGACTGAAATCAGCCTTAGATTAAGCAAATCCAATAGCTTCAGAGATAGATGATTAGTGATATCAGCACAAAACACCTTGAGGCAATGAGTAGATGTTTTCCTTCATATGTATAAAAGTATACATTTAAGTATAAAAGTAAGTGAAAATTAGAAGATGATTCAAAAATCACTGGACCCTACGTGAGAAAATAAAGAGAGAGAAGCAAACACTAGGAGTGTCCACCCTACCCTGCATCAACAGATGATGCAGAGGAATTTTATGCCACATGTTACTTTATAGTCTGTATACTTTATAGTCTGTATACCTGCGGAACTTCCCTGTGCTTTACTTTTTTCACTTATTAGGGTTATACATGCAGAAGACCCTTTGCAGGGAAAATAACTGAAATGGTCTCTCCAGAGCTGATACAGAAAAGGCACTGAAATTTCTACCATTTATCAGTCTCTAATACGAAATAATATCATCATTAACTGAAATTTGGTCACTACTATTGACTATTTGGTCACTACTATTTGGTCAGTACTATTGGAATAATAATAACAATATGGAGTTTTTCGCAGTTACCATTTGCAGACTGTGTAATTTTCCAGAACTCTGATAGACTATAAGATTTTTTATTATTATTATTCTTTCCATTTTTGACCAAACTACCCAGGACCTGAAAAATTCCCTTGGATTATCAATCAATTTTTGTTTGTTTAAGCCAAACAGTGGTCTTTCTAGATACATGACATAGGGCCTTTGAACAATTTCTGCACGGTTGCTCAGCTACTTAGTTGTGTTAGTGATTAAAAACATAAGTCTTGAAGGAAAACTTAAAGATCTCTCTTACTAGAAACACATTCATACTAAACAAGGAACATTATTTGGTTCTGTAAAGTTCTACTCTTCCAAAGAGAAGTAAGTGAAATTCAGAATGTCTGACCCCTGGAAAATGCTCCTGTGTTTCCCATGCTGTTGTTTCCAGCAGAAAATAAGGAAAGGAGAGGGAAGGAAAGGAGCAGGGAAGGGGAGGGAAGAGGAGTAGGGAGAAGGGAGAAGAAAGTAAAAAACGGATCTGAACAGAAATTTTGATAACTGACTTTGAAATAGTATACAGTACTATAGTACATAGAATCAATAATACATTGATTCTGTTTTTTTTCAGCAAAATCAAGCAGGGGTGAAATTATCTTCCCCGAGGCACAAGATGATGCCACAAGCAAATGCAAGGCAACGTTAAACTGATGCAAAGCTGAACAGTTAGTCACACTGGAAACCACAAAATTAACTCCGTAAATTCACTTTCCAGTTCTCCTCTGCTGTGGTATGCCTGTTTTTCCATAGTGCTCCCACCTTAGCCCTCCCAGCTTGTTTCAGAAGAGCCTGTATTCCCCTGTGAGCCCACACAGTTCTCCAGAATCAGGCTGTGGGTCCCATTTTCTAACCTTTCCTTCTCTCACCACACAAATGTACCGGTAGGGAAATGCTTTTTTTATTAAATATGTTTTGGAATTCATTTGGTAAAATATATTTCAAGATGTAGAACAATCTAGATGTAGAACAAGCCTAGAACTACTCTTTGTATTGCATCAAATGGGAATTAAGGGCATCATTTCCATTTTGAAATCTAATTTTTCAAGTTTGCAATCAATCACCTGAAACGCTCAGGGAGAATTTTCCCACTTGGCCAGGAATAGAATTGTGCAGAATGTCATTGTTGAAGACAAGGTGAAAGGGCCAGCACAGAGAATCCTCCGAGATGAAGGACTTGTTCTTTAGGCACTCTCTGAAAGTCAGATTTATTAGCAGATTGCAGACAAGGAGGACCTTTTTTTTTTTTTTTTTGTCTAATCAGTTCAGCGAGCAAGGTGATATGGAGAAATGATCAGTTTCCTCCTTCACTCAACAAGCATGCTCTGCTGGGAGTATCTGGAAATACATCTATCAGGTTGCTGATGCTGGTGTCTCCTAGCCCTCAGGCTTTCATGCATATTTACTCCTTCCGTTTAACTTTTAAAGACTGACATTAAAAGACTAACATTTAAAGACTGACATAAAGACTGGCAACGGAAGTTTCCAGCCTTGTTATGACAGGTTTGGATAATATTTAATGATTTAGCCAGTATGTCAGACCAAATGATCTAACTGTCCCACTTCACTGAATTTTTTCTGGAAAGTACAAAATCTAATCTCCAGTGATATTGCAGAGTGCATTGCTCTGTCCTCTCCCTGCCACTAAATTGTCCCTGAGTGGAGCCAGCAAGCAAGGAGACAGACAAGTTACCTGTTTTACTGCTTGATGAAAAAGGCAGGGATCCTTCTTTAAAAAGGACGAAAGCAAGAGCTTATGAAAACAAATTGGACATCTTTGTAGCACTAAAGGCTGCCTCATCCCTGCATTACTGTTTCCTATGCATTCAGAGAACACTGCAAAAAGGGACCTAATAAACCAGAGATTTTTAAAGTATCATTTGAATGATGAAAGTTGTGCTCATCACCATTTCCAGACTGATAACTGAGCCTTCCTCCATATAACGCCAGGCAAAGAAGATATATTTCCCTATTTAAGCTTATCTTGGGTTATAGAGGAAAACTGCAGTAAACAAGATAATCTGAGCATGCACAATGCTACATTTTCTGCACTGAGCTTTTCTCATCAACCTGTCCCATGGATGAAAGTGCCCAGGCATCACGAGCAGAAGGCATGCTGCTCATCTGAGGTAATATTTGACAATTACAGCTCTGAGAGCCGAAACTGTATGGAATACATTAACTCAACCTCTTTCATTGCCCAGTCTATCTCTCTTGTCCATTTATCAGATCTGCCACTTACAGAAAAAGCAGTGAGTCAGTTCTTTACACAGAACCAAAAAAAACCTCACCATGTCACAACTGGTACAAACAGGACTGGGATCCTGTGTGCTAGATAAGTTGGATAGTGATAAACAAAGCTAATATTTGAAAGAACCCTTTGAAGACTACTAAATCTCATTGCAGACCTCTAATTTCCCCCGCCCCCCCTCCAAAAAAAAGGCATTTATCAAGAGTCACATACAGCATATGAGACATGTGACAAAGATGCACCACAATCTCTGAACAGTAGCTACTCACACTGTAAGGTTTGTTTCAAGCACAGTGCCCTGTGAAATGACATGTTTTGATCTCCTTTATATTACATAAAATTGATATGTAATTATAAGGTCTTGGAGGACAAGATACTGCAGCAGGAGACAACAGACCTGATAACTTTAAGCAGAAGGGAATTGTGCCAATCTGCTCAATATATAAAAAGAGGTTTTATAACCCTTTATTTTGCATTTAGTTCTTTAGAATGCCTTCTCTTTAGTTCTCTTTAGTATTTTGCATTTAGTTCTTTAGACTGCTCATCTGGGGCCAACAATCCTGTTTCTCCTCTCCCCAGCAAATAAGAAGCAAAGATAATGGAGTTTTCTCTGTGTAAAAGACTTCTGTAAGTACAAAATCAGGCAGCTGTCCTTCTCCCAAGGGCCTTCCAATGTGAAGAAGACTGAGAGGAACACAGCTCATCAGGATTCAGGATGAATTTTAACTGTGAGGAATGTTGTGGGATCCTTATCTTCCATTTTGTGGGGTGCACAACTTTCCTGAATATTAATACAAAAATAATCAGAAATCATTCTTGCTCAGTGCAGCAGAAATTGCTATAATTTGAGAGGAGGGACTTTTAATCAGGGATGTTCCACCGTGGAAGGATAAAATTAATTTTCAGTTAAGTGTGCTGGAACATTTTTCTAATGAGTATTGATAGGCTCGTACTTACTGATTTTTCATACAAACATAAAACAACAATTCTAGGCAGGAATAAAGTGATGACACTGCATGTGGAAAAAAAAGAAAACAAATGTGTGAGAGAAAAGAGAGCATGTGAAATGAGCTTAAATTAAGTTTCCCAACTGTTTTAATTTATATATGTTATATATAAATATATGTCTGTGTCTGAATATATATATGGATTGAAATCAGTCAAAACAGACATTTTAAATCTCTCCTCATCAAATGCAAAGTTATATAAGGAAGGTCAAGCTAGCATTCTGGGCCTAAGTTAAGCACATAGCATTTAGTCCAGCTGGCTGCATTTCTGGACCAGCTTCTGAAGGCCTGCTGATTTTGCAAGAACAAGAGGTGGTTTGTGTCTTTTATTGTCATTAGTACCTGGTGCCTACCTCATGTGCAACCATGATAGTCCTTGTGCAGGGGAAACAGAGATGGACAAGATTTTGACTGCCATGTTCCAAAGAATTTTTCCCAAAATTGGGGAATGAGAAGAGAGATCTCTGTAGAAGCTCATTCTTTCCAGGATATGACAGCTCAAGTAAACCCTAGGCATTTTACTCGGACCACCAGGACAGTCTGCTCCAGAAGCTCTGGCGCTCCTTGAATCAAGAGTAATAAGGAGAAGGGTGAAAAGACCTTCACGTAGCTCTGGGTGGAAAAGCCAGAGTAGTTTTGTCTCAGTACTGCCATTGCTGGAGCAAAAAAGAGCAGTGAGGAGAGGGGAGGCGAAGACAGTAGTGATGGATGGTAAGAGGATGAGGTGGCCCTAGAAGGTTCACAGTTTTCTCGGATGAGTTAGACCTACACAGGTGTGTAAAACAAGTTATCTATTGCACAAACGATGAATTCTGGTTGACACACTTGTATTTCTGATATGCTGCCAAATGCAAATTTCAACTTCTTATTCACCTAGAAAGCTGGTGTCAAGATTTGGGCTATATTTTCTAACAGATACACTACATAAGACCACTCTGAACAAATGTACATGTTTTCAGTGCTGGTAAATAAACTCTTCCAGGCACCCCTGGTCAACACACACCATGATGGGTACAGCATGGTTCATCTCCTCCCAGTGGCCCTGTTTGGTTAAATCATGCCCTCACCTGCATTGGCTACCTTGACACATTCTGTGACACTGTGGCGACTCCAGAGTGACATTTATTACGGAAGCCTAAAGTTAAAGGAGATTAAACCCTTGTGCTTTTCATGTACATCCCAAGACAACTCACCCTTTCACCATCCAGAAGCAGGTGCACTCTGAAGTTCATTGATTCATTAAGAATAATTTCTTCGTTTCTGTACAAGATCTGAAAGATTCTGCTGTAAATGTTGCTTTCATGAACATAGGCTGAGCAAAGGCTGGAATCACCTGCACAAAACACAGACAGCATACCAAAGTGATTTCTTCAGGGACATTATTTTATATCTACTACACTTTCACTTCAGAATTATCCAGGACAGTTATATTAATACTTGTAATTAAACACTGGAATTCACAATAATTAATGCTAATAGAGCAGATGATTGTTATTGTGGGTTGTAGTTCCCCAACCATGGCATTTAAAGAAAATAGATGTCTAATTGAGGCAGGCAGGCTGAATTTCAAAGTGAGAATGGCTGACCCCGTGACAGCACTTACCCTACTTACTTTTCTTCTAATGGAAGTTAATGAAAGCACCAGATATCTTCTAGGAGGGTTTGCTATTCAGGAGCATGAGGACTGTGGGTGTTTATCAGCACAGACTACATCTATGAAATTTCATCTTTTATCTGCAATGGACATCTTTCAGAAAAGAGGTGTTTCCAGATCTTTCAGGTGCTTCCAGAAGTTACTAACTGCAGGGGTACAATAGCTTCTCCAAGTAAAGCCAATAGCTTCTCCAAAGTAAAACCCAGATATGAAGAGACAAATTAAAATACTGGAAAAGAAAAAAGTAATCAGATGTTTCAAACTGACAGAAGTCCTGTCAGCTGCCTCAGGCCCCTAGCTCATGTAAAAGTTGCCAAACTGGCCCATACAACTGGGATTGAAATAGGGCATTCAAAAGCAAAAAGCTTCTGCAGTCTGCATATAGACTGTCAACAGCTTCGCCCATCTGTCAATATATCATATCATCACAAATTAATTAAGCATAAACTAAGGTTGTATTTATCCTTCCTAACTCCTAGGTGCCTCCAGTGTATGAGTCTATATCAGAGGAGACTAAGGAATACGAGGTGTTGTTCACCTGGCCAGAAGAGCTCCCTATTTTGCCCTTTTTTAAAGAGCATGCTTTAGAATGAGGCCAGTTGTAATCTGAAGTCTACTGCTTACTGAGTAGTTCTTCTTTCACTAAACGGAACATGGTGTGACTTACTTAGCTGCAGAAATTTATGTTAGAGGCACCAATATTTACTACAGTGACTTTCTCTTGAAGAGTTTGCAGTGCCTGTCCAACTATTTAACAAACAATTGGGCACCAAGATTTCAGGTACTTCGAAGTTGTATCCATCCGCTAATTCCTTGCTCATTATATTTCCATTGCCTCAAATCAACAATTTCCTCCAAAATTTACCCAGACACAGTTTTACTTTTTTCTTCCAGCGTTCCAATGACTAGCGTCATAGGAATCTGAACTTCTGAAATATAATTCTATATTCTATAGTAAATGGTATATTGCAACTAGATATGTACAACTCTGAGGAAACAGACTTTTTTTTTTTTTAAAAAAAAAAGAAAAACAAAAAGGTGTGCCAGTATCAATCCTTTAAAGAGACCCAGGTCTGTAATCCTCATCAAGAAGCCAGTAGGTACATGTTTTTTAAAAAGTGGGATGGTTTCTCAAAAGGAACTTCTGTTAATCTGGGCCTTTGCATAATTGTTTTGATCCCATAAGCTGTGATAAGATAAAAGTCCAGGTCAGAAAGTTTTACAGACTGCTGGTTTGTCAAGAGTCTCAAATCAGGACAGGCCTATTCTGCTGTGTGAACAGCTACCATTTTTCTTTTCAGTGGAAGAATCATATATAATTTGCAATCAGAAGTTGCTGAGGTGAGACTGAAAGGGGACTGAAGGTTTTCAGAGGCAAAGTTTGTTTTGGGAGGGAAAGGAGTAAAAGAAGATACAAGGCTAAAAAGAAGCACTACAGGCTCTGATAGAGAAGTGAATGGAGTTTTGTCATTATAATGATTACGTTTTGTGGTGTCTGTCTGCTGGAACTTGAATAACACAGACAAAGACACATCTTAAAAAAATCCTTTTCTATGTAGGGAAGAAAAAAAAAGATTACATAGCAGTAAGACTTGAGTTAATTAACTAGAAGGACCACAGGACTGACACCCAAACTGCATTTTCTATGCAGATCATTTTTCTCTTGCTGATTCCTACCCAGCACACCAAGCACACCTGGAAACAGCACAAGTGTTGTCAACCTGCTATTGTCTTCCCATCACACTTTCTGCACAATAGTTATGCCGGAGTCCAGGCAGCCTAAATAAATACACATTTACTTCCTTGTGTTACACCAATTAGACTAGAATGTCTCAGCCTGATTATCTCTTCAAAAGCATGCATATTTATTTTAATTCAAACCTCATCGTATTAGAGACAAAAGAAAATTTTGTTAGAGGTATAATGTATTCTTATGCCTATCTGGCAGACAAAGGGAGCTTTACGTTATTTGATTAGGATATTGATATACTGGGACTCTTCGAAGACAGAAAGTCTAATATCATTTTCTTTTCAAACACACTCTGCACAGGTCATGGCTAGTATGTAATTACTTTAGGAGCTAGATTTGCAAGGTGGCATAAAGAGACATTATTCTTGCTGTGACGGTCAAAGCCAGAGACATGCTACAATGCTTCAGGATGCCTCAAATCAGTGTAAATGGATATAATACACTGGGCCAAAAGACCATTCAGTTTGAAATAGAGACCTACCTTTGCAAAGGCCTACAGCCAAAGAACGCCTGATGGTCTTCGGATTGATACAGCTCATGGTTGTCTATCTTAATGGCAGCAATCTGCTTCTTTTCCTCTTAAATATCACATAAGGCTGTGGTAGGAGTTCCCTGGGAAAAGTGCTCAGCACTATGAAAGTGCTCACCACAATGCTCACCACAATGCAGGCATCCTCTAGGCAAAGGAATGTCTCCATGTAAATGCAAACACCTAGCTAGAACACATTCATACTTCAGTAAAGATAACCATGCTGGATTTCTTAGGCTGTTTCTCCTGCTAGAGCCAGTGATACTGCTGAAAGATGAGATGTTAATGGGCTCTCCTCAGCTGAGATTTAACACTTTTGAATACTGCTAATATTGAACAGAAGAATAAAAAGTGAATGGAATGGAATGGAATGGAATGGAATGGAATGGAATGGAATGGAATGGAATGGAATGGAATGGAATGGAATGGAATGGAATGGAATGGAATGGAATGGAATGGAATGGAATGGAATGGAATGGAATGGAATGGAATGGAATGGAATGGAATGGAATGGAACTGAACGGAATGGAACTGAACGGAATGGAACTGAACGGAATGGAACTGAACGGAATGGAACTGAACGGAATGGAACTGAACGGAATGGAACTGAACGGAATGGAACTGAACGGAATGGAACAGAAGAGGCTGAATGCTGTAAAGAGTTGTTTTTGATCATTCACCTGTACAATTTCACATGACTTTTGAGTCTTCTGGGTTATTTTATTCCAACTTGTGAGTATTTTTTAGTTCTTTTAGTTCAGTTTATATTGTTGCTCTTATAATGTGTACCACTCCCCTAGTGGGGAATCTTTTGAGTCTCATTAATTTGAAAAAAAAAAATAAAAGAAAGAGAACAGGTTTCATTGAGTGTTGTGTGCATGAAAGGAGAAGAAGGAGGAACTATTTATTTATTTTTTTCTTATTATTAATCTGTAGTATGATCATAATTAACTCATGGAGAAGACAATTGCATAATATAACTCTTGAAATTATTAGCCTTCCTATATCCAAGCTATTATCCAAAGCAATTACTCTGTCTTTTGACATATTTACTATTTTATGGCTTTGGTCCATATAACTGTCTATATAGCAGCAAGATACATAAATGTTAATATTTATCTCCACGATCACAGAGTATAAACGCCTCAAGAATACCAATGAATAACTACGGTACCTCAGAAATATTTTAAAACAAAAATTTTGCTCTCAAAAGCAAATTGACCTGCAGAATTTTATCTGTGGAAAAATCAAAAGTAGAACTCAACTTTCAGAAATCCTAATTCAGAATGCAAACCATCCTCTCCATATAACTGCAAGGAAGGAGCCAAAGAATAGGTGACCTCTAAACAATGAATTCATTATCTTCAGCCTACTTTAGCTATAATTTCTGTTACATTGTTCTGAAGACCACCACTAATTAAAAGAAACTTGAAGCAAAGGTTATCTGTCTGTGGCAGATGTGCTAAAACAAATATGAGAAATTAGTTTTACATGATAAAAAGTGACGGAATAGTGGAGAGAAGCAAGCAATGATACATCTGTTCTAATATATTTAGGAAAGGGTATCAGTAACTGAAGAACAACATCAGGAACCTGGGTCCATTTCTCCATCCCTTTAAATCTCCTTCCTTCCAACCATTATGTACTTACTTTTTTTTTTTTTTTTTTTTCCTCCTTCTCTCTTTACAAAAATGGTTTGAACAGTTTCAGAGGCGTTCTCTGTCAATAGCAATTCTTGGAGCAAGCAAACAAAAAACTCACCTTCACAAAATCAACTGACTGTGTTGCATGTTTGCCTCAACCTCTGGTTTCTCTCAAGGAGAAGCTTTGAACCGGCAGTGCCTTGGCATAGCTGAGACATCATGATGAATGATTCCCCCAGAGCCACCTAAGTCAGGTGGACCCTTGCTGTTTTCTAGCTATTGGAGTGTCCATTTTTCATGTATTCCACAATCTATTTGGCATGTAGGTAATTAGCATGCTCCAACCTAGACAGCTAACTTCTTTCCATAATTACATTTTCAATTCTACTTCCTTCTGAGGTCTTCTGCCAAATAAAACTGAAATAGACCTAAGCAACAAATCATTTCAACAATAGTAGGCATCCAGGTGTGCTGCACAAATTTGCCCAAGAATTTTAGTATAATCTGGTTTTTGAGAAATGCTGCTTTGCATTTATTTATTTCATCGGGACTTTAAAATATGTAAATGCCTTATCACACGACCCCTAACACAGAACTCCAGCACTAAGCAATGTTCCTATGAACTTCATATGTTCCTATATATTCTGAAGAAAAAGCAGCATTTAGAAAGGAAGAGGTTCTCGGCTGTAAAGCTATAGAGATATAATGCCCAGTTTGAATGATCAACAGTATATCACTTTCAAATTCCTTTTTAAAA